AGGAAAGGATCAACAGGTTGGAGCTCTTTTCTCATGAGAAAAGGCTATGGAGCGACCTAAAAGATGACCTTAAACTATGGAAAGTTTTGATACAGTGTGTACAGAGAGAACATTCTCTCTTGTGGAGAGTACCATAACTATACAGATCATCAATATAAGATAATCATCAAGAAATCCATGAGCCAATCACAGGATATTTCTTTATCAAAAGAGGGGTGAGAAAGTGGAAAAGAAGTGCTGGAGAAGGTCTGGCAGAATTTGTGGATACAGAAACAGAGTTAACATTTCAAGTCCAAAATGAGTCTTCTTCGAAGACAGTTTCTAACTTGGAAATTTACTCTGTTTTTCTCTCTCTGCAGCTATCAGACTTGTTGAGCTGCTAAAGCACTTTGTACTTATTTCAGATCTCCAGCATCCACAGTACTTTATTTTTAGCTTGTGAGAATGTGTAAGTTGCCACCAAAGTTGAGGCAAATTGTATAGATTTGCTGGCTTTTAGGAAAGGCTAGACAAGCATGAGCAAGACGGAAAGCAAAAGCTGCAATGGTAACTTTGCATGTGAGAAGATAAGAGGAGGCTAAAGCACAACACACATGGCCTTGCGAGGTCAAATGACTTGTTCCTCTGCTTTATATTGTATATAATTGTGACAAAATGCATTATTCATACAGTGATATGTTAATGACACCAATGTTTAATAATGTTTTAGATGATGGGAATGTCACATGTTAAAAATGTTTAACATATATTTAGTTTGCCTTGGTAGCATGAATTGTACATAATCTGGGGTCAATGGAGACTTTGCACTTTATGTATAGAACCTTGTTTGCCAGGACCATATACAGGAAATGTATTGCTTGGCAATGGCCTTCTCCAATAATGCTGAATCTAACCATGCCCTTGATATTCGATGCCAACAGCAGTGCTGAATCTCTCATCATAAAAGGTTTGGGAGTTACCACTGACCAGAAACTTAACTAGACCAAGTATGTGTGATTGCAACAGTAATTCAGACTGGGAATTGCATAGTAACTCATCTCCTGACTCTCTAAAGCCTGTTTGTTACGTACAAAGCACAAATCAGAGTGGGATAGAGTACACTGGTATGGAATACACTCCACTCACCTGGACGAGTGCAGTGCTCAAGAAGATTAACACCATCCAAAACAAAGTAGCCTGTTTGATTGACATCTCTTGCACCAACTTAAACATTCACTCCTATATCCACCAGTGAAACAGTCACAGAAGTATGTACCATGTACAAGATGCACTATAGTAACTGCAAGGTTGCTTTGAGAACACTTTGCAAAACCACAATTATTACTACTTAGAAGGACAAAGGCAGCATATGCATGGTAGTACCACGATTTGCAAGTTCCCCTCCAAGCTACACACATTCTTAATTTTATTGGCATTTCCTCACTGGCATTGCATCAAGAATTTGGAATTCCATTCCTAACAGCATTGTGGGTGTAGCTAAACCAGATAGACTGCTGTTATTCAAGGCAGCAGCTCACCACCACCTTCTCTGTGGAAATCAGGATGGGTAACAAATACTGTGCTTGCCTGTGATGCCTGCGATTTTTGTATCTTAAATGAAAAATATTAAATATACATTGAATGCTGTCTGAAAAATTATGGGCAGCACTAGGGATAGCACCAGTGTTAAAATACCTCATATCTATTTTTCTAATCAACCTGTTCAGAGATGTTATTACACACCTCTAGAACAGGAGGGGCTTCAACCTAGGCCTCCCGGTTAAGGGGTAGGGATGCTACCACTGTACCACAAGTACAAGTACTTCCTTTACTATCTAACTTATCAATCTCAGCTTCATGACCTACAATGGCTATGAATTTAAAAAAGCACACTACAATTGCTGCCTTGACAACTTCCTTAAGACACTTCTTAAAATTGACCTCTTCAACTAACTTTTTGGTTTTCTGATCTAATATCATCTTGCAAGGCTTGGTGTTTTGTTTTATAATATTCCTTGGAGGGGTTTTAGTACATTAAAGGCAGTAAATAAATATGTTGGTGTTGATATTTTCACCTCTTTAGCTAATTAACTTGTATCAATGCGTAACAAAAATTGTATTATAGATATTGTTAAAATGTTGACAAATGGAAGAATAGAAGATAATTTACAATGACATCCTGCTTCTTACCTGGCAGTACTACTTTTGGGTAAAGTTTTGGCTTGTTCTTCATTATTGCACAATAGATCACAAAGTAGACTGTACTCGTGAGAAAAATGCCACTAAAGTGTGCAAAAACATAGTCTAGATCTGAGAGAAAAGCATAATTTTACAATTACCCTTAAGTAAATTCAGATATTCAGTTAAATCACAATGTTGATCAGATTTGCTTGTCTGTCATAAATGCACTGATTTAAAGTAAATTTGATTAATGCTGGCCTTCAGACTGAAAAGCAAGTGACCCTTTAATGAAATGAAGTTTGAATTTCATTTGCAGCAGACAAAAAGTAGAATATCTATTGGGCTGTTTCAGTGTCCCCTAAAAGTTGAATCAAAACAGGTACTTTAATCAAAAGAAAGAGAATTATTTAAAGAGTGCTTGAAATTCTTTGGGAGTGTTCACCAGTCTCCTATCATAACTCAGAAGAGAGGCTAGTGAAACTCCAGGGTAAACTGCGAAGGTACAGCATCTTCAATTCCCAGGAGATAGCTTTAGTGCCTTTTAAGTTGCGGTGTGCGATTGAGGGCAGTAACTTCCTATGGCAGAGATCCTAGTTAAGCTTGAAAGGGGAACTGGTAATATAGTGGAACCAGTATGCCCAATTAAGTGAGTTTTACTGTTTCTCCTTAAGGATGCATATGGATACCATCAGTAGAGTCCAGGCAAACCAACTCGTCATAAGAATTCAAAAACATTTTTTTTTAAAAACATAACTGAATTGTTCATTTGAGCAGATAGGAACATCATTGAACTTGGAACCAAGACAAGCACCATCTCCAAATGAAAAGGGATTTCAAAGACAATATTGCTACCAATTGAGTTTAACAGATACTTTACACTGTTAGAACTGAGATGAGGAAGAATTTCTTCAGTCAGAAGGTGGTACTCATTGTCGCAGAGGGCTGTACAGACCAAGTCATTAAGTGTCTTTAAGATAGAGATAGATAGGTTCTTGATTAGTAAGGTGATCAATGGTTGTGGGGTGAAGGCAGCAGAATGGGGTTGAGAAGTATATCAGCCATGGTTGAATGGCAGAGCAGATTCAATAGACTGAATGGCCTAATTCTGCTCCTATGTCTTATGGTCTTTTTCACCACTGCCATCATTAGTAAAGTGGTAACTTATTTTTGTTTTAATTTATCATTATTAGTTTTTTAGTGTCAAATTGCAATGGAGAAAACTAGTTTGTAATTTTTTTGTGTTCACCTTTTGTTGACACATTACCACAGAAAACTACTGAATAGATCACTTAATTTGTGGCGCATATTTTTAATTATATACAGCAAGTGACCCTGCATTAATTCTTCATGGGATGTGAGTATACTTGTTAAGATCAGCATTTAATGTCAGTAATTGCAGTTAACTGGCAGATTTGCTTGGCCATTTCAGCAGACAGTTAAGTGCCAAACAAATTGCTATGGGTCCAGAGGCCAGATCAGGTAAGGCCTGCAGATTTCCTAAAGGACAATATTATTTTCTTCATTCATTCACGGGATGAGGGTGTCACTAGCTAGGCAGCATTTATTGCCCATCCCTAATTGCCCAGAGGGCAGTTAAGAGTCAACCACATTGTTGTAGGTCTGGAGTCACATGTAGGCCAGACCAGGTAAGGATGGCAGTTTCCTTCCCTAAAGGACATTAGTGAACCAGATGGGTTTTTCCGACAACTGGCAATGGATTCACAGTCATTATCAGATTGTTAATTCCAGATATTTATTGAATTCAAATTCCACCATGGCGTGATTTGAACCCGGGTCCCCAGAACATTATCCCGGTCTCTGGATTAACAGTCCAGCGATAATACCACTAGGCCATTGCCTCCCCCTAGTGAGTTAGGTAGGTTTCGTGACAATCTGGTAGTTAGGTGATCACAATTACTGACATTAGCTCATTCTTTTAATGCCAGATTCACTGACTAAAAACACTTAGATTTCCCAGCTTCTCTTTGGACTTGAAATTGTACTATGAATCATTAGGCCAGGCTCTGACTATTAGTCATAACTATAGTACCATACTTTTGAATATTGCAATTAAAATACTGAACATTCTTTGTGATATTCTATTTCTTCCTGTAATTTAAACATTTGCCCTTGTTCAGTAGCATTCTTGATCTACATAGTTTATCAATGGTGCTTGGTTGGAAGGATTGCTACTGGAAATAAGACACTTGTTTGAACCCATTAGGAGTATTGTATCCATCTGTGGCACCACATAACAGGAAAGATATGAATGCATTGGAGCGCAGAAGTGATTGACAAGAATAGCTCCATGAGTGAGGTACTTCAGTTACGATGATACATTGAAGAAGCCAGGACTATTCTCCTTGGAGAGAAGGCAGCTGAGGAGATTTGAAAGAGGTTTTGAAAATCATGAGCAGGTTGGATAGAGTAGGTAGGGAGAAGTTGTTCCCACTCATAAAAGAAGAATGATCGAGAGGGCATATATTTAAATTGATGTGCAAAAGCAGCAAGAGTGTTGTGAGAAAAATCTTTCACACAGCAAGTAGTCACAGTCACTGCCTGGAAGTAGAATTGAGACAGATTCAATTGAAGCATTCAAGAAGTCATTATTTAGATATATATGCTGTGCAGGGATAGGAGCAAAAGGCAGGAACTTAGCACTAGATAACAAAATAGCTCATTCTGCACTGCAACAATTCTGTGAATATTAGCATTGTCTGAATAGCCATGCTATTCTGTAAGGGCACACAAAACAAATTGAACTAAAAGTTCTATCCAGGAATAAAAATCTATCAGAGTTTTGAAAACACCTGTCTTTTGAGAAGTTATTAAATGGATCCTGCATGTCAACACCCTTGAGAAATTAAACCATACAGCAATTACCAGACATGAAACATTGACTATCTTTTAGTTGTGCATATCTTTGACCTGGTTCTATTTTTGATGTTGCTCTTATTTGGTGAGGAATATCTGTTGCAGCAGTATACTGTTATGCAGATACCAAGTTCTAAGTAGTACAACAAGGTAACCCAATACATACATTTATTCACAGGACATATTTCATTTATTCTAAAATTAATAAAAGTAGGAACTAACTATTAAAGCAGTTTAGCCCACTGTTCTTTCATCCTTGGAAACCAAGTTAAAATCTATCCTAAAGTGATGGACTAAATTTCATTTGTTTCTCTTTGCTGATTATATCAGTAGTAAGCTAATGTTCCAGTAAGCATGAGTCTACAAAGCAAAACAAATCCATCTTTGATCAAAGTGATGTTGTTAGTCATACGTTTAGGGTGGTCACAAGGTTGCTAAATGCACAAAATCACACTTATGTACCAGAAAGCACTCAGGTAATTTGGAGAAGCATAGAAGGAACTTTACTTGCATGATTGGGAGAGTGGGTGAGGAAGTGGCAGGTGGAGTACAACATGGGAAAGTTTGAGGTCATGCACATTGGTAAGAAGAATTGTGGTATGGAGTACTTTTTAAATGGGGAGAAAATTCAGAAGTCTGAAGTGTAAAGAGACTTGGGAGTTCTAGTCCAGGATTCTGTCAAGGTAAACTTGCAGGTTGAGTCAGTAGTTAGGAAGGCAAATGCAACTTGGGCATTTATTTTGAGAGGACTTGAATATAAAAGTAGGGATGTACTTCTGAGGCTCTATAAGGCTCTGGTCAGGCCACATTTGGAGTATTGTGTGCAGTTTTGGACCCCATATCTCAGGGAAGATGTACTGGCCCTGCAGCGGGTTCATAAGAGGTTCACGAGAATGGTCCCAGGAATGAAAAGCTTAACCTATGAGGAACATTTCAGGACTCTGGGTCTATACCTGATGGAGTTTACAAGGATGAGGGGGGATCGAATTGAAACTTACTGAATACTGAATGGCCTGGACAGAATGGATGTTGGGAAGATGTTTCCACTGGCAGGAGACACTAGGACCCGAGGGCACAGCCTTAGAGTAAAGGGAAGACATTTTAGAACAGAGATAAGGAGAAACTTCTTTAGCCAGAGTATCTATGGAATACACTGTCACAAAAGACTGTGGAGGCCAGGTCATTGAGTATATGTATGACGGAGATATATACGTTCTTGATTGTCAAGGGGATCAAGGGTTATGGGGAGAAAGCGGGAGAATGGAATTGAGAAACTTATCAGCCATGATTGAATGGTGGAGCAGACACAATGGGCTGAATAGCCTAATTTCTGCTCCTATGTCTTCTGGTCTTATTATTGACTAAGTGTTACAAGTCCTGACACTGGATACCTTAAGTAGAAAAGGATTCCCAAAATGAACTTTGATCTCACTGATGAACACAAAATTCATCAAATGTGAACAAAATTAGAGCAGAATGATGATGTGTGTGGTCCAAATAATTCCGTTAACATGAATGCATGGACCAAAGGAAAAAAAATTAAACAAACTAAAAACCAAAAGATATGTGGATGCTGCAAGTCAGAAACAAAAACAGAAATTGCCAGAAAAGCTCAACAGGTCTGACAGCATAGAATCCCTACAGTGCGGAAACAGGTCCTTCGGCCCAACAAGCCCACACCGACCCTGAGAGCATTCCACCCAGGCCCATCCCCCTATAACCCTCCTAATCTACACATCCCTGAACACTTCGGACAATTTAGCACGGCCAATCCACCTAGCCTGCACATCTTTGGACTGTGGGAGGAAACTGGAGCACCCGGAGGAAACCCACGCAGACACAGGGAGAATGTGCAAACTCCACACAGACAGTCACCCGAGGCTGGAATTGAACCCGGGTCCCTGGCGCTGTGAGGCAGCAGTGCTAACCATTGAGCCACCGTACCGCATCTGTGAACAGAAATCAGAGTTAATGCTTCGGGTCCAGTGACCGAACCCAAAAAGTTAACTTTGATTTCTCTTCACAGATGATGCCAGGCTAAACTAAATGAACTGCTAACACAAATGAAACTTATAGAGCATAACCATATTGAAACATGGCTAACGAACTAAGGACTGCTATACTGAACTAGGCTACAAAAAGCCACACCCAACTGCCATAAAAGCCAAATTTAAAGGAGCCTTTATCCCTCCCAGAACCTGTTTCTGCTCAGGCCATGAGGGAGAAACCTGCAATGACCCAATTACAGAATTTATCAACTGTTGTTGAATTCTAGCTTAAGTTTTAAAGCCCTTCACCTTGAAAAGAGGAATTTTCAAGTAACAATAACAGACCAATCCTATTTTAAATCTTTAAAGTATCAGTCTTCCATATTATTTTTAATCTTTGTAATCTGTTTTCTCTTCAATAACCATATCACTTTTTGCCTGGCAACCTTAAGCAAGAGCTGTGTAACAAACTAAGGTTTGATCTTGTTTAAAACCAAAGCCTTGTTTGCTTGTTATTTTTAATTTGAATACTCAAAGCTAAAAAGGGAGGCCAAATTAGTTATAAAGGGTGGCCGTTCATAGGTCATGCTGCGGACATGCTGCGTAATGACACAGGCATGAATAGGTCAGCATATCAAGCATCCCAAGGAAAATAATGCTGCATTAGAGTCAGGGATTCACAAAAATAATGTAAGGAAAGTAAAAATAATGAAGAAAATGATGGCACATGACACATGACACAAGACAGACAGTTTAAATTTCAGAGTCATAAAAGATGCCTTAAATATAATTTTACAAAGTTCTCTTGATACTTTTCTTTAGATTAAAAAATGGGACATGTCATCCCACTATTAAGGAAGGGGAGAGGAAACCCAAAAATTAAAGACCAGTTAGCCTAACATACAGCGTCAGGTGAAATGAATGAAGTCTAGAAGTAAGGAAATAGTGATTCATACCAGAAAAAAATTAATCCGAGAGCAGGCTTGTAAATTGATTTGTAAAGCGTGGGCCATGCTCATGAATTCAATTGAATTTATGAAGAGCCGACTAAAGTAATAGACATAAAGAGCAATCTTTTTATTTGTGTGATCTTCCAAATGTTATTTGACAAAGTCCATAACAGACTGTTCAATAAAGTTAAAACTCATGGAATTCAAGACAAATTGTTATCTTGGTTAAGGGATTCAGAGAGCAGAGATAATCTGCTATCCCACATGGATCTTTGTTGGGGACTCAACAATTCACCATTTATTAGGGAAGGCCTTTTTGAACAGAGATGAGGAGAAACACTTTTAACCAGAGAGTGGGGAATCTATGGAATTTACTGCCATACTAGGCTGTGGAAGCCAGGTCATTGAGCATATTTAAGACAGAGATAGATAGGTTCTTGATTGTAAAGGGGATCAAAGGTTATGGGGAGAAAGCGGGAGAATGATTTAAGATGTTGTGAAAGGAGTCAGTTCAGTGGCAGATAGACATCAATGTACACAAATTTAAAGACCTAAAACATGAACAAACCAAGTATTTTCTAAATGTGGAAAGCTAGATGCAGTTAAGATCCAAAGAGATTTGAAGGTCTGCACAGATCATGAAAATATCATGAACCGGAAAATGATAATCAAAAAGGCTAAATGGATGCAGACTTTAGTGTCTGGTGGAACAGAACAAGTCATGTTACCAGTGTCCCAAAGGACTATAGGGCTGCACTCTCAGTAAAGAGAGGCAACTTGTTTAACTTCAGGGCCAGCTTATGGGAAGAGGTTGAAAAGAACAGTTCTTCATGGTAAACTCAGCCAGTCCATGAATTGAACTCATGCTGCTGGCATTGGTCTACATTGGAAACCAGCCAACCAACCAACTGAGTGAAGTGGTCCGAAAGTCACCATAATCCCAGAGGATCGTGGGCTGCTCTCTCATTAGAGAGATAACTGATGGTGTTTTAAACGTGTATCACCACAGCTCAGGCAAGGGGCGAGGTTGAGACGATACAACCTTCATGGCAATCTCAACCCGTGCTTTGGTGTCACTGCATCTCAAACCAGCATCCAGCCAGCTGAGCTAACTGACTCTTCCTTACATGTGGTCAGAAGCTAATTCCTCAGCTATACAAAGCACTGGTTAGACCATATCTGGACTACTGTGTTCATTTCTAAACACTACACATTAGGAATGGTAATAAAAACATCTCAGGTGTGGAATTAAGAAGCATTTCAGCATGCAAAGTATTTAGATGATTGGAACTCCTCCCATAAATGGCAATTAATGACGGACCAATTTCTTTTTAAAACTAAGAATGATAGATTTTTCTTAGCCAGAAGTGCTACGGTATCTGGATAAAGCTGGGTGTATGAAGTTAGGTTGCAAATCAGCCAGATCATACTGAATACCAAAAGGAACAGATTCAGTGTTGAATGGCCATTTTTTAATTTCTAATTTTCAATGTTCATAATCTTTTAAGGAAGATTACATGTGGGTAATATGAACATGTTGTCTGGGTGATATTAAGATAATGTGCAGATGTAAACTCATTTGAGAAAACGATACAGAATGGCATTTGGAGATTTCAACCTAACATCCTTAGCACTTTACGCCAAGCAAAGGAGATCATATGATCTCATAAAGAAAGGCACAATGTATTATACTAATTGAGTCACATTTATAGTAATCAATTTATTTTAAAATCTTAAAATAACTCATGTATTTTCTCCTGAACATATGCTGCACATTTCGTTTAATCATTTTGTAAACTGGAAGTACCATATCATTAATGAACATACTAAATGTAGTAGTCCCAAATTTATGTGAGAATTGCTCTGATCTTCTGCCATAACTTCAGTAGAAAATTGACAGGAACATAGAAACCTTGTTTATAGTACTTATTCTGTTCTCTAAGGGACTATCGAAATTTGAGAGAGAGAGAGTCTGGAACAGCTCCAAAGGAAATTTAGGGTTTAGAAGCATAATTATTTCTATTCTTTTTGATATCCCTATTCTAAACTCTGACGAAATAGTGAACTTTTATATTATACAGGTGCAAAAAGGCATCCACTAATATTCTTACCAAACTGGCTTGCATTTTTATATTCTGTTTCATTCTTCAGAGCTTGGTTCTTGATATAAATCACTGGCACAAAGCTAGAACCATACAATAACCCTGCAGTCACTGCAAGGAATGAGCCTCTAAATTAAGTGAGAGGAAGGGAACAAGAATCAGTTTAACAAGAATACAACAAATTACACGTTCCACACATTCTTTAATCTGTTCCAATATTTGGGACTGAGCTCCTTTACCAGAATCATGTTTCGTTGGGGGAATCGGCATCTCTGACCAGGAGCCTTGACCTCCTTGAGCATACAATGGATAGTTGGATATGCATTATAATAGTTACAAGATTCCTCAAATACCTGCAAATTCTCAGATTTGCACAATGTACTTCTGGTGACTAAAGTTTACCACTGGGAATAACTATTGGATGTTTTTCAAGACATTAAGTATTAAGTTACTTTCAGCCAAAAAATTTCCAACTGTATTTTTCTCCCCATTCCTGCTGATTTGGCCTAAGCATTCCAAATATTTTCTACTTTTAATGTAAAAAATAATTAAAAGCTAAATCCTGACTGTCTTCTATCTGTTAACTAATCCTCAATCCTTAAATACATTACCTTCAATAACTCAAGCTCTTATTTCATGTAACCTTATTTCTCGAAACCCTCTTTATAAACTCTGCTTGTTAAATCCTCAAAGAACCCCAGCAAATTTGTCAATTATGACTGCCCTTTCACAAAACCACATTGACTCTAGTGGACTGTGTTAAGAATTTCTAAATGTCCTGATGTTTCTTCATTAAAAACGGACTCTGACATTTTTCCCATTGACAGATGTCAGCTTAATTTGACTTTAGATTCTTACTTTCTATTTCCTTCTCTCTTAAACAGGATGTCAAAAAAAAGTTTTCCAATTTGCTGGAACCCTCCCTGAATGCAGTAAGTTTTGGAATATTTCAATCAGTGCCTCCAAACTTTCTGCAGCCACTTCCTTTAAAACACTTGGATGTAGGCCATCAGGTACTGGCAACTTATCTGTCTTTGTTGCATAGTTATTGCACTGGCTGGATATTATGTGCTGCCACCAGGTGTTCTTTTGGCATGGGGCACTTAACATAGGTGACTAGCCTACCACCTTCCCACCAGGCTCAATGTAACATTGTGGTGATGTTCTTTACAGAGGACATGTTCTGGTGTCAGAGTTGCTGCTGAATGTTTGTTTCCTCGGAGGATCTTTGGTTTCATCAAATTGTTTCAGTGAAGATAGTTTGCTTCTGACAGAAGCACATCTCTTTTAGCAATGTAACACAATAAAACCCATTTGCCATGATTTGCGCCGTCAACTCGTCCACCTTGTTTCGAATGCTCCGAGCATTCAGATAAAATGCCCTGCTGCCAGTTTTTGCACTTTCTTTTTGTTCTCCTTCCCTTTAACTTTTTTCCTAATTTTCAATGGAGTTGAAGCTTCCTCGTCACCTGCTAACCTGCTGCTTTGCCTTACATTAATTGTTATACTCCCTGTACGCTCACTCCTCCCTTCCTCCCTACTTACTAGTTTAAAGTCCTATTGACCACCCTATTTACCCTTTTCACCAGAACACTGGACGCAGCCCTGTTCAGGTGGAGTCCATCCCAGCAGTATAGATCTCTCCTGTCCCAGAACTGATGCCAGTGCCCCATGAAAAGGAAATCCTCTTTTCCACACCACTCTTTTAGCCACGTGTTTACTTCCCTGATCCTCGCCTCCTTATGCCAATTTGCACGTGGCTCGGGCAGCAATCCAGAGATTATGACCCTTGAAGACCTGTTTCTTTTAATTTTGTTCCTAGCTTTTCATAATCCCGAAACAGGTCTTTTTTCCTAGTCCTGCCTATGTTGTTGGTACCTACATGGACCACAACAACTGGATCCTCCCCTTCCCTCTCTAATATCCTCTCAAGCCGGTCAGAGATGTCTCGCACCCTGGCACCGGGCAGGCAACACACCATGCGGGATTCTCTATCCCGCTTGCAAAGGATACTGTCTATCTCCCTGATGATGGAATCCCCTACAACTACAATCTGTCTTTTAGCTCCCCCCTCTTGAATGGCCTCCTGGACCATGGTGCCATGGTCAGTTGACTCATTCTTCCTGCAGCCCTGCTCCTCATCCACACAGGGAGCAAGTGCCGCATACTTGTGGGACAATATCAAGGGCTGCGGCTCCTGTGTTCCTGTCTGCAGGGTCCCTCTACCTGCCTCACTCGCAGTCACACACTGCTGTCCCTGCCCACCGATCGAATTAACATTAGTTAATCTACTAGGTGTGACTGCCTCCTGGAACACAGCATCCAGGTATCTCTCCCCCTCCCGGATGTGCCGTAGTGTTTGGATTTCGGACTCCAGACTCCAGCTCATCAATTTTGAGCCGGAGCTCCTCAAGCAGCCAACACTTGCTGCAGATGTGGTCACTGCCGTTCTCAATGGTTTCAGCTAGCTCCCATATCATACAGCTACAACACATCACCTGACCTGTCATCTCTACTTAGTTAATTATTTAAAATTAATTAGTTTGTTTTTAGTTTTGCAGTGTTCTCTCTTTAAGTGTTCTCTGCACCAGTAAGTTTACTCCGTTATATACTCAAACAGATTCTGGCTTTGCCTTCCCCACCGCTCCCAGAGGATTAGGTATCTAGGTGACCTCCCCAAAAGATAACAAAGAGATGAGAAAAAAAAATGCAAATAGCTTACCTGCTCACCACACTTAGTCTTTATTATTAGGTTAGAGGAGGTGGAAGGGTGGGAGACACTATACATGTAGTGCCTCAGGTATTAGTTACTTCCCAAATTTATTGAGTGAAAGATCACTGTTACCCAGCCGACCACTCGCGCCCACTCTGGGACTCCTCCTCCACTGAACAACTGACATTCCTCACATCTATTTTCCTGCCTTTTCCCCATAACCCTTGAATCGTCCACTGATCAAGAATCTATCTCTATCAGCCTTAAATATACACAAGGACTCTGCCCCCACAACTCTTCGTGGTGAGGAGTTCTGAAGATTCTCAATCCCTCGAGACGAAATTTCTCATCTGTGTCTTAAATTGGCAATGCTTTATTCTGAGACTATGCCCTCTGGTTCTAGACTGTTCTATGAGGGGAGGCATACTCTTAGCATTTACCTTGTCAAGCCACTCAAGAATCCCATATGTTTCAATGAGACCAACTCTCACTGTTCTAAACGCGAGGGAGTATAATCCCAACCTGATTAGCCTCTGCTCCTAAAACAATCCCACCATAACAGGGATGATACTATTGAACTGCCTCCAATAAAATATTATCTTTCCTTCAGTAAGGGGACCAAAACTTCTTACAGTACTCCAGATGTGGCCTTACCAGCACTTTGTACAGTTGCAGTAAGACTTTTCTACTCTTATACTTCAAATGCCTTGAAATAAGAGCCAACATTCCATCAGCCTTCCTGATCACCTGCTACATCTGTGTGCCTGCCTTGTGTTTAATGTGCAAGTACACCCAAGTTCCTTTATGTTCAGCTTTCTCCATTTAAATAACACTGGTCTTTTGTTCTCCGTGCCAAAATGAACATCTTCACATTTTCCTATGTTATACTCGACTTGCCAACTTTTTTGCTCACTTACTTAATCGATATCTCTTTGTGAACTGTTTGTATTCTCTTTGCAACTTGCCCATTTTTATGTTGCCTGCAGATTTGGCCGCAGTACATTCACTTCCTTCCACAAAGTTATTAATATCTATTGTAAACAGCTGCATTACCAGCACTGATCCCTCTGGAACCCCACTGGTTATAGGTTGCAAAACTTAAAAAGAATCCCTTATCCCCAAGTGCTGTTTCCTGCCCCTTAGCCAATTCTCTATCCATGCCAATATACTACCTCCAACGCCAGGGGCTCTTGTTTTATAGTCTTTTGTGAGGTACAAGGTCAAATACCTTCTGGAAGTCCAAATACAACACAGAGACTGCTTCCCCTCATCCACTCTGGTTCAGAATTCCTTCAAAAACTCTAATAAATTAGTCAGACATGATTTCCCTTTCATGAAGTCATTCTGACTGTGCTCGATCAGATTGTAGTTTTCAAAATATGCTGCTATTACTTCCTTAATAATTGATTCCAATATTTTTCTTAATTTACCTCACCATGTGTTTTGGTCTGCCTTTATAATGATTGGTGCACACACAAAGAAACATGAATATCCATATCAGATTGAAAGGGGGCTCTACTGTTAGATTACACTATCATACAAGAAGACACAGGGCAGTGGACGTCAAATTTCCTAACAGTGAGGCATTGAGATTGCTCTTGGAGCAACTAATGCCACTAAACTCAAGAAACAATCTATGGATCAAAATTTTCACAGACACACATAAAAGGAACAGTTCAGCATTCCAACACCTACCAGTAGACTGCACAAAAAATTGAAGGCTATCGAAGCAAGAGATAAGTTAATAAATAACATAACTCTCTCATTATTCCCTACATCATTTGGATTCTGTTTGAATCAATTGATATTAAAGGTTGTACATTCAGAGGCCAAACATATTAAACACCAGTTTAAATTCACTTCCAGATTAACTGAATTCATATGACCATATAAGGTTGATGTAGTTCAATATTTAGTGCTTGTCCAGTGTATTGCTCAAGATGTACTCATGTGAAGTTGCACATCAGGAGATTATCTTTAAAAAGAAAATGTCCTGTGAACACAGGTCTGGTTTGAGGACTTAGCTATTTGAAAGCCAAATTAAGTGAAATGTTTTGATGAATGAATGGAACTATTTTATTTTGAAAAGAATATCACCAAGAGATGCAATTTTTTGTTGCAATGTTTCCCTTTGAAACTGACAGTGTACAACTGGAGTGTTACACAAATAGTCCAGCTCTACTTTGGCGAGGCTTCTGCCCTGAATAAAAATTAGGGCCACAGTGAAGTGTGTGCAGTTTGTACAAGTTCAAGTTCTGAGTGAGCCATGTGTATCCTCAGCACAGGCTTAAACTGAGTGTCAGTGCACAGCCTGAACACCTATAACACAGAGCTTTTTTGATCTAGAAGACCGCAAACGTTCATCATTGGTTTAAAAGGCCTTTACATTACTTTCAATGAAATACACAATACTTACACAAGTCTTTTCTTTAGAGGACTAAGTTTGTCTACCCAGGATTCATCTGACAAGATCATTTCTTCACTAGTATTTATATTCTATATTTAAAAATAAATGCTGTTAGGCACTTCCAAAACAGTATTAAACTTCCACTCATAACTGATTACCTCTTTAAAGGGAATAAACAGTCTCAGAAAATTCAAAAATCCATAAGGCAAAGTAAAGCCAGAAATTCCTTTTTAGAAACTGATGCATCTTTAGCATTTCTTGCTTGTAGGCTATTATTATGTATCAGAATTCATGACATGGAGTTTGGAATACATGGGGTTCATAAATAAAAAGATTGTTAAAGATTCAAAATAGAAAGTTTTCCAATATCATTTTCATTCGAAAACAGAATAAGAATGCAAGATACCAATGAACAAGAAAATACCACTATAACTCAATCAAGGTTGCGACTTGCACATAAAATCTACATCATTCAAATAATTTCTAGATGCAGCAAAAACAATCAACAACAAAGCATGTGAATATTTATGCAATAACAGTCACCCTGATAATGGAATACTACATTTGGAAAGCTACATAAAATCTAAAACCATAATTCAAAATTTAAAAATGATAAACTGCATCTTGAAAATACATTTCAAAGAATTTTGAGCTAATTAAAGAATTAGCTCAAAAACAAAAACAAGAGAAAATGTTAAGCAGGATGCTATAGATCATAACCAAAATTCTGTTTCTTTCCCCAGAATTCATTTGCTATTTGCTTAAATCATTAAGTGTACAAATGCATTTACTCTCTTCATCTTCATTTAATCCTTTTTCTAATGGAATGATCTGCCAAAGTTAAATCTTAATAAATCAAACCTGCAATTGAACTTCTAATCTGCCTGTTCTCCATTACTTTGTGCCTCTCCGGTTTCCTTCCCCATTGTCCCCATGTCTCCATTATGTTGCTCTTTGTCTGTTAGCAGTGGATGTTAGTTGGTTGTATTGAGAGAAAAAAGTATAGATACTATTGGAGGGAAAAGGATGTCAAGGGACATAACTTGAATTTTCTCACACATCACTGATTGGGTTCAGATTCTCAATGAATATTCCCTTTAATATTGATTTACAATGTGACAATGTAAACTGCAGAACTTGAAAAACTGTTCATGGATTGAAAGAATCAGCAATAACTTTCCTGGAATAAACTGTTTCCCTAGATGAGAGGAAAGGACAAAGTGTAATAAAGGAATTGAAAGCAATTAAAAATCACTGGGGAAAATGGAGTCGAAGCAAAATAAACAAACTGTTTCCTGGAGAGAGGAGGTAACAACTACTTTATAACTAGCTGCCTTGTGATAAATGAGCAAATAAGATTGCCTGCAGAAGAATTTAAGGAGTTAATGGCAGGACAGGCTCTGTTTCAAATCGACAGCTAATACTGAATGAAACAAGGAACAGAGAAGCTACCCCTGATAAGAAATTCAGTCACAGACTTGGTGACTTCAGAAGTGTCATGAATAATGCCACATCACAGATTAACAAGAAGAAAATCCTATAAGAATTAAACTTTTGGAATCTTCAGCAGCAGAATCTGTTTGCACACTGTAGGGATTCTAAGTCTAAGATTTTAAAAAAATGGATGGCACGGTAGCTCAGTGATTAGCACTGCTGCTTCACAGCGCTAGGGACCTGGGTTCGATTCCACCATCGGGTGACTGTCTGTGTGGAGTTTTCACATTCTCCCCATTTCTGCGTGGATTTCCTCTGGGTGCTCCAGTTTCCTCCCATAGTCCAAAGATGTGCAGGCTAGGTGGATTGGCCATGCTATATTGCCCATAGTGTTCAGGGATGTGTAGAAATCGATGGGTTATGAGGGATGGGTCTGGGTGGGATGCTCTGAGGGGCGGTGTGGACTTGTTGGGCCGAGGGGGCTGTTTCCACACACTGTAGGGATTCTATGAGAACTCCAGAGAATGATGCTTCACAAGGATCAAACCCTGGACATAGCCAGAAACAGATTCTGTCGGTTAGATTCATAACTAAATTCCACCATTAATCAGGTAAGGGCTAAGTTGGGTTGTGAGGCTTAACTTACCTACTTGAGGGTTCTATTTTGGTTGCTAAATGCAAAGAAGTTGAAATAATTGTTTCAGTATTTGAGTGTCTGTGGATTGCTTCGTATGTAGCCGAATTAAAGGAAGTTAATGGTAATGCAGACACAACACAAGGGTATGTAGATGTGTTTCCTAATGGGAATAATGGTCTAGTGTGGACAGCAGATTGTGCGGCTTTGCCTGTCCAGCTTAGAGGGAGCATTTTTTACTGCTTACAGTAAAAAAAAGTCATCAGAACTGTAGGGAGAAATGTAATTACTGTTTTATTCAACAAAACATCAGTAATATAAGATTATGTTCGAAATACTCAGCAGGTCAGCACCATCTGTGGACAGGAAACAGACTTAACATTTAAGGCTTATGACTTTTCATCACAACCATTCTGATAAAAGGTCTTTGATCTAAAATATTGGAAGATGTTTAATGGAGTCAATGTAGGCATCACCCATCAATCAGGTACTTGATTGGGTAGTGGTCGGCCTTCCCTGAGGGATCAAGGGCCACAAGTGCAGAAGTGCCATTTGATGCAAGTTGTCAACCAGAGGCTGGTAGCTATTCCTTGCTCTGTGGAGGCAATGGTTGCTGCTGGTACTAACGTACATAAGACTTAAAATTGTTCATGGATGCAGACTTAGGTGAGTGATGGCAGGAGGGGTGAATCACAGAGTTGAGTGGGTCAGCAACAATGGCAAGTGACTGGCTCTTAATGAGGCAGCATCTTCCCAACGCAGGCTTTTTTAATCAGGCATTGACTATCTTCATATGGATCATCTCACCATTGACTTAATCAGGGCAGTGGCAGGTAGGCAGCAGGATTACCATTGCTGCACCTCTTGCCGTGGGAGGACATTAAATTTCACCAGTTATCTCTATCTCACTCCATTGGTATTGCTTGGCTTGCAGGGTAATTTCAGCATTTCTATTTTTTCAGCATTTACAGCATTTTGCTTTACATTGAAATTTATTGTCATTATTTGGTGTTTCTCAATGTCCTTCATACAGTATAAATAACACATAAGTAGTTTATTCAAACATTACCTATCCATAAATTCATCCATTATTTTGTCTTCTTTGTCTGCATGATAAATGTTATTCATTTCACCATAGATTTAACCAAGGTAAACGTAGCAATGTTTGCAGCTGTTGTCAAATGTCTTATGATCAACTCTCAAGCTGACAAACTATAAAAAACTTAAAACTCCATGGGAAATATAGTCCTATTGTGGATTAATGAGATCTTAAGTACATAATTGCCCAATGTATTGCTGATCAAACAATACTAATCTATTCTAGAATTTTGATTTTTTTTACATGTTTAAACTGCACAATGAAAAATTTATTTTGCACTGTTTTAGATTAGTCATAAGATGGAGTCATATAACTTCAACAAACATTACGGGATCAATTTTCCTGCATTACTTCTCCTACGACCATTAATCCTAACAAGATAGAGAGGATATAATTTCCATTATGATGCATCTCCAACTTTTTTACACTACCTCGGTATTCCCAGGAGTGGGGAGGAAGGTTGAGGGAATTGGACTTGTAATATAGAGACATATGCCCAGGTTTCTCCAGTGTGGTTGCAATTGTAGGGTACAGTCATGTGCATTCCGTAGAGCTGCTGTTGGTTTTGCAGAAATCACACATCTGCACTCAACACCCCAAGCCCTTTGCCACAAATGCCCCAGAAAATTAACTGCATAAGATTATAAACTATCCCAATGAATTTTCATCCCATCAGGTTGCAGCAAAAAGGGCTAACTGCCAACAGGCGTGAAAGCTACTATACATTCCTTCAAACCAAAGCTAGGCCCAATCCTTGAGCACACCTGAATTCAGCATGGGCAATGGACAGTGCATTGTGGGTAATTCCTACTCTACATCATGCCAAATAGGGTCATGAAAAGTCTTGTTCCTCAGAATATGTCCTCTTCATCTTCCTTGACAAGCACAACACTATTTTTTCCCAATAAAAAGGAAGAACTTGCATGTAAATTGCACTTTTCACATTTGTAGGGCATCCTATAAGCATTTCAGAGTTAACCAAATTTTGGAAGTGCATAAAAGTAAAGTACTGCAGATTTTGAAAATCTGAAATAAAAACCAAAATCTGAAAGTATCAAACAAAAGTCAGGCAATATCTATGGAGACCTGAAAAACCGATTGCTTTCTTTCTCATGCCTCTGACCTACTGAATATTTCTGGCATTTTCAGTTTTACTTTTGGTGTGCTGTTGTGATGGATATGTCGTAAAAGATAATTTGTGAACAGCAAGTGTTATAAAGAGTAAATGAAAAATACTTAATTATTGTGCCTTTTATTGAGTGAGGAGTGTTAGTCAGACCATCAAAAGAATTTTCTACCATATTTGAAATGATTCCACGTGGGTCTTTTCATTCTATCCGAGCAAGTTGTTGAGGTCTCAGTATAAATCTCAACTGAAATACACCACCGAAACCGCAGCACTCCTTTAATACTTAGTCAGCCTAGATAACGTACTTAAATACTGGAGCCATAATTTTCTGATTCGAAGTAATAACAATATGACCAATGGAGGCACAAAAGAAGAAAACAAAAAGCATCTTACTGATCATGTTTTATGTGTTCCATCATTATGGAATATTATTTGAATACGATATTCACAGAATACATAGTCAAAATCTAAAGGCAACACAAAATAGGCAATTTATTTAACTTATATGCAGAAGAGTTTGCTCCACTGAATGAAATTTTCCGAGAATTCCACAGGGAACTGCTACTTACACTGTCAATTAGTAGCGGAAGTGTTGATTCAGAATAGTTTCTTGTATTTACATCACTCTTGACAAAGAAGAATATGATGGCACTGAAACAAGAAGTATTAAAATCAACATATTAAAATGTATGACTCCAAATTCAATTTTTTGAATTTCATTAGAACAGTCAAGGTTCCAGATGAATGGACATTTTTGCTTCCCCACAAATTCCTTTCATCACTGTTTTGTAAGAATTACAAATCGACTAAAATAATAACCTGTACAAAAATACTAAAAAAAACCTGCAATTATACAAAATTAGTTAAATATAACCAATCTATATTTCCAGATCATGTACATGTTATAAATGTAGCTGGTGAAAAGAACTGTATCAACTACTCTTAATTCAAAATGGCTGGACAGGTTTACCTCATGAAAGACAGAGCCGCTCCAAGGTAGTTTAACCAAGGTTTTGCCACTTCTTCAGGGTCAATGCCAAACCAACCAAATCTGAAATAAATTGTGCAATACAAATCTGATGAACTGCTTTTAACCTGGAACATTAATTCTTACACTCTTCACAAATGCTGCTAGACCGGCTGAGTGTATCACCATTTTCAATTCATCTACGTGCTCAAAGCTTAATTTAAATGAATCACAGTACAATCAAACCTGAACTTTGCAGCATTACTCCATACAATGCTTCTATGGAAATTCTTTATTATTTTTTGAAATAGTTAATAAAATGAAGCATCCTTGCACCCATTAAGTTGGAGACTGTAAAGTGATGAAGGAATATGTCAGAAAAAATGATGCATATGGAATGTCACACGAGGAAAAATAATCTGGGCTGAACAAAACCTTTTAAACATTAAAAGGAATGCTATCAATATCATTCATTTGTGGCTTAACCAGATAAGGGAGATATGCAGGAATTATTTATTGGGTTTTCAGAAGGCATATGTGAAGCTTATTTTTTTCTTAGAAGTTAATATTGAGAATAGGAAGAAGTTATGGATAACTTGAAAAATCACTGTTAGGCAGTCAGCTTGATTACCTTTTTCAACTTCTGTGTAGGGAAGAAACCAACAAGAAGAATAAAGTGCATGATGACAGACAGGAAGGAAAATAGGATGAGAAAGGTACAGCAAGAGTTTGCAGGTGTAAGTGTTAGGAGTTTTGTTTAGTTATAATAAAGAATCAAAACATCTAAATATTCTTTTTATACAAGATTTAACTTCTTTCAGTGGGTGGTTAGTTTTGGAACTGTACAATCCCTTTTGACTTTTATCATTCATGAATATGTCAACTGTGTTAGAATATTTTTATCTAGTCCACCTTGTAAATACTGAAGATTGCTATTCACTTATTTTACACACACTTTGGATAACCTTTTAAGTAATACTCACTAGATATGGTTTACATACCACTAGGCCATCACCTGTGATATTATTGCTGGACTGTTAATCCAGAGACCTAGATAACATTCTGGGGTTCGAATCCTGCCACAGCAGATGGTGGAATTTGAATCCAATAAAATATCTGGAATTAAGAATCTAATGATGCCCATGAATCCGTTGCCGATTGCCGGAAAAACCCATCTGGTTCACTAATGTCCATTAGGGAAGGAAACTGCTGTCCTTACCTGGTCTGGCCTACATGTGATTCCAGACCCACAGCAATGTGGTTGACTCTTAACTGCCCTCTGGGTAATTAGGGATGGGCAATAAATGCTGCCTAGCCAGCGATGCCCTCATCCCATTAATGAATAAAGAAAACAAAATTAAATAGTTATGGTTTAAATAGTACGCAATCTATGTTTAGTCAATCCAAACACAATTGCCTCAATAAAACTCATCACGCAGCCTCCAGAAAACAGACACAGTCATTTAGAAGTGACTGATCACAGCAAATTCCCACACAGATGCTGTAAGACAAGTGGCGATTTAATTAGAAATTCACAACAAATAAGCAAAGGATGTGGTGATGACATCGTGTGCAGCGCCTGGCCAGCGTCAGCTCTCATCAGCAGTAGCAGGTATCCTGATTGGGTATTAGCTTTTATGTTCTGTGACTACTTGGGGCGTGTCAGAGGACTCTAGTGGGTGTATAAGTAGGACACAGTTCAGTTTGTGGGAAAATATATAATGTCTAGTTTTATGATAAAAACATTTAAGCAACACATCCTGTTTAATACACTAATAAAGTAATTTGTGAGGTTATGAGAATTGACTCTTCTCCTCTCTTTATAAGCCAATAACTGGAGGCGGTGTTCTCTGGGCTCTCGACAATACCTTTAACAGGGCTATTCTGATTCTGCTTGACTGTATTATGATTTTTCAAATGTCCTGCTGCTACTTCCTTAATAATGGATTTTAGTGTATTCCTGGTGACAGATATTAAACTGACCGGACAATAGTTTTTGTTTTGGTCTCTCTCTTTTTGAGAAAGGAGGGGTTATATATGCAATCTTTCAATCTGCTTGAACCTTTTCAGAAATAAGGAATTTTGCAAGAAAACAGCCATTTTGGCCACTATTTCTCTGCAACCAGCTCCCTTATGACACTATAAAGCATGCCATGAAGTCCAGGAGTCTCATCAGCCTTTAACTCATTAGTTTTCCTAGCACTTTTTCTCAACTGAGTGATTGTTAGTTCTTCTCTTTTGCATCTTGATTTTCTACCATTCTTGGGATGCGCTGTATCTTCTATTGTAAAGACAATCAAAAAATATTTGTTCAAATTCCCTGGCAAGTCTCATCCTTTCAGGGACCAATATCTACCTTGATTACTTGCTCCCTTTTTACATATTTGTGGAATATCTTACTATTTTTATATTTCTTGTTAGTTTATTGCCATATTCTAATTTCTGCCTCTTCATTTTTTGTCACTTTGTTTTCTTTTCAAACTTTCTCAACACTCAGGCCCACCATTAGTCTTTGCTGCACTGTGTTTGTCCTTTCTATGTGATACTATTCCCAAAGATACCATATCCTCCTTGTATTGTCTTTCTTTTATAATGGAAAATATCTTTGAGAGCTATGAAATATGTCAAGTGTCTGCCACACTTATCTATCATCGTGCCTTTTAATGTACAACCACTGTAGCCAATTGAATATGAAATTTCATCATGTTGTGACCATTCTTACCAAGAGAGCTATTCATTAATCCTACTTCATTATCAAGGCTAAAATGCCTGTTCCTTGGGTGATTCCAGAATATGTTGTTCTAAGAAACTTCCAAAATAGACTATGAATTATTATTCTAGGCTTCTTTTGCCAAATATATTTTGTCCAATCAATATGAAGACTAAATTTGCACATGGTTTTTGCAGTTCCTAAAAACTCCCATTATTTTTGGTTTATAATCTGTCCCACCCTGAGGCTACCATTAGAGGGCCCATAAATTACTCCTACTAGAGACTTCTGCCTTTTGTTATCTCCTATCTAGATACTAGAGGAAAGATTTTATTAAAGAATCCACGTTCAAGATTCCATTTCATAGTTAAGTCAGTTTCATGGAATTACGTTCAAACAGGTATTTATCACTAGAATGACCATAATTGTCATCATAGATGACTGCTTAAAGCTTCTAACAAATGAATCTACCTGTGTGTTCAGTTTTTTCTGTACCAATTAGAGCAGCTTTATTTTTGTTCACTAATGGGATATGTGTGATACTGGTAAAGCCAGCATTTCTTCCCTAAAACTTAAGAAGGCGCTACTATGATACCTGCTTTGTGGAATGCTGAGTTAATGGAATTAAATGTAAAACTAAGGGCAACGGTCATAGAAAAGATAATTTCAGTGATATTTTAGCTGAGCTTATAAGAGAAAAACCACTAAGGGAGTTCTGAAGAAGAAGAAGTGGCTATTCTGTACATTGAGCTCAACAACTTCAACGTAGAGTCTTCTGCAGCCTTTGCATCACCATTAGAGAAATGGTTCTCAGAAATAATTAATGACGTCTGTGAGAATTATGACTGTTTTTATTCTTGGGTCAGAGTCAACAGTGCTACGGTGATAACAACAATAATCAACAAATACATACACAGTCGGGATATAGAAATTCAACCACCGAAGCACAGGAGTGAGGAATTATCTGACAATTGAGCATTGTATGTTCAAATGCAAGAAAATTTTAGAAAGAACTGAAGGAAGCAGGTAGAGACAGGATGAGCATAATATAATTTTCAAATAGAAAGAGAAAAAAAAGTTACTGGGATGAACATGCAAAAAAAACAACTTTGGTACGGGCGGAATCAGTTGATTTCATTAGGATTAATATCAAGATCAATATGCTATTGTATCCAAGAAATAGAAGTTCCAACAGACCCACTGCTGATAAAAATTGAAGACCATTACAATGAGGAAGCTGAATTCAGCAGAAGAAGGAAATGCACAGTCAACATCATTAAGATTAGAATATATAGAGAAGAGGAGCAGGGAGGTTATGTTGAACTTATATAAGACACTAGTTCGTCTCAGTTGGAGTACTGCATCCAGTTTCTGCCTTTGCACTTCAGGAAGAACATGAAGGCCCTGCAGCAAGTGCGAAGGAAATTCATAAAACTGGTTCCAGGAAGGTGGAATTTTGTTTATGAAGAGAAACTAGTCACATAACGTCTGCACAGATAACAACCATACAATCAGGATGAAAAATGGTTTGGAAAAGAATAGTAAATATATTTACTGGGTACATTTCTGGCAAAGAACCAGGAATGGTCGAAAAACCAGGACAATTGGAAATAAATAAAAGGGTACTGCAATTTAAGGAGGCACCATGAACTTTATCTATAAGCCAAAGTGATATGAGAAACAGCCGGCATATTACATGAGCAGACATTCAATGCTTCAAGTCTGATTTTCCTTTGCTTCTAGAAAAAGTATCAGGAAGAATGTTGCAGGCACTAGTATGTTTCGACATCTCACCAAAAGATCACTTTTCATTTGTTAATCTTGATACAGAACTATATCCTCATTTGATGTCTGTAAACGTCTGAGCTCACTGAATAGCAAATCAGAATTATAACCCTGGATTATTATGCCCCACATCCCAGAGATGTCACAGCCAATGGTTTGTCACCTCAACGTCACTACTACACCTACGATGAGTTTTCTAAGCACCATGGTCAAATGTAAAACATAACTGGCTCCTGTGATTTCAGAATCTTTGCAGTGCAGAAGGTGACAATTTGACCCACTGTGTCTGTGTGGTTATCCAAATACAATTCAATTCAATACAGTGCAGGAACAGGCCCTTCAGTCCACTAAGCCTGTGCCAATTCTAATTCATATTTCAACCTGCGACTTATCGCACATGCGCAGTTTCTATCCTCCTGTTCATGTGTCTATCAAGGCATGATTAAACGTAGCTGACGTGCTTGCTTCCACCACCTCCACTGGCAGTGTTTTTAAAACATTAACCACCCTCTGTGTGAAAAATTTTCCCTGCACTTCTCCCCTAAACTTTCCCCCTCTCACCTTGAACTTGCGCCCTTTTTCTATCTGG